TTTTTTTTTTATAGATTGTCAAACGTTCACTCAAGTGTGTGACCAACATTTCTTTATATGACAGATTATTAATGCAGCATCTTCACACACCTCTGAAATCCAGCTCGAGTGTTTGTACTATGGACACTTTTGATGCCAAGCATACAAAGCTGTGGGGCAGGTGCTGGAAATGGGCTTAGAATAGTTTGATGGGCATTTTTAGACAGGTGTAGACTGGTTGGGCTGAAGGGTCTTCATCTGTGCTATGGAGCTCTCTGACTCGAGAATAGTGTTCCTGAAAATTAAACTTTGAGAAATTTAAACTACAGGCTCTGTTGATTTCATAGAAACTAAGTGATTTGACAACACATAGAGGTCACATGTCCCGTCATATCTGAGCTGTAAATTAACTGAATGAATATTGGCCTTGAGTCAGCATGCAGTTAGTTTGAACCCAAGTTAAGAGCTCAATCATACAATCTAGGCTGACACTATGGTGCAGGACTGAGAAAGCACTGCTACATTGGATATACACCATGGTGGTACAATGATCAGCAATGCTGCCTCATAACACCAGGGACCTGCCTTCAATTCTACCCTTGGGTTACTGTCTGTGCGGAGTTTGCACATTCTTCCTGTGTCTGTGTGGGTTTCCTCTAGGTGCCCTAGTTTACTCCCATAGTCCAATGATGTGAAGGTTAGATGGACTAAACATGGGAAATGCAGGGTTACAGGCGTAGGCTAGGGGTATGTGTCTGGGTGGGATGCTTGGCAGAGAATCAGTGTGGTCTTGATGGGCTGAATGGCCTGCTTCCATATGGTAGGCATTCTATGATTCTACATTTTGGAGCAATATTAGACCTGTCTACCACCTTAGTTGAAAGTCATTCTAATGAAATTTTGATTCGCTCCCCACCTCCCACATTCTACCCTCCATAAACATCTAAATCATGGCTGCCTACATCCTAACTCAGTCCAAATGCTGTTCGCTTTTCACCGTGTTCACTGGACCTGCTGTGGCTCCTGGTTAAGTGCAAGATTAATTTTATCATTGCCAGCCTTGTCTTCAAGTCTTGGTGATGAGTCTTTGGATGAAAGGCAATAGGTGCAGAGTCCTTGAATACTTATTTTTAAGGCAAAGATAAACAGATTCTTGAATAGCAAAGGGGTGAAAGGTTATTGGAGTAAGGGGGGAGATGGGGAGTAATAAGATCAGACTCAATCTTATTGAATGGAGGAGGAGGATTGAGATGGGAAGTGCACAATTCCTGCTCCAAACCCTTGTGTTAAAATTTCTCTTGGCCTTTGCAATCTCCTGTAACACAGCAACTCATTGAGATTTGCCTCTAGTTCTGGCTGCTCTAGCATCCCTGATCTTAACTCCCCAAACAGTGACTATACTTAGGTCCTCAGCTCTGGAATTGCTTTCCTAAATATTTCCAATTCTCACCCTTGACCCAAAGCAAGCATCAATTGTACAAGCTGCCTCTCAGATCAGCCAGTAATTTTACTGAATGATAGAACAAGCTGAGGAGCCTGAATGGCCTATTTTGGCATCTCCCTTCATGATCTGGGGATGGTGCTGAAGGCACAATCTTCCTGTGTTTGTTTTAACTTTGGAGAGGTTCTGTTCTATCTGATCTCCTTAAGTTTTACTTTCAAAATATAGCACCACTTTGCTTCTAGAATCTAGGCAGCTAGATCCTTTGAGATTTACCTCCAGGACACTAGATACTTGAAAGATCGTACGAGAATTAACCTGGATGAAAAATCAGGAAGCATTGTACCCCTTTGTCTTTTCTCCAAGTTGTTGGATACATGATCAGACAATTGAAAAGAAATCTAATGACATTTGTATTTCCTGGGAACCAAAGGCGATGCACCAAAACACTTAAGAATTCAGGTCTGAGAAAGGACAGAGGAAACAGAGTCAATCAGGAAGGAGTTATAGTGTGATGTTATAAAATGCAGGCATTAGGAGTCAGATTCACAAATTGGCAAGCTGCAAGGAATATTGCACTGATTATGTTGCAACCGTGGGAGGCTGCAATAATGAGCTTTGATTTCAACGCAGACAGGATTTAGAGATTTAGTAAGAATGTGAAATACCTCAGAAACATTTTAGAAGGAATGAGAAAAGGAAAGTATCAGGATGCCAAGACAATAGAGGGAGAGAGAGGGAGTACACTAACATTTTCCCATCCAGATGAGGAACTGAAAAAATATCTCCTCAAATTTGATTGATATATTCACACATTTGGACATCTGCAGAATTAAGGCGAACGAAAAGTTCAAAAGCAGCTTTCACAAAGGAGGAAATACAGATATCCGACCAGATCTTCACAGTACAAAGGCAACAATTTATTATGTATCTTGGAGAGCAGCACATTACCACATAGGGGCATTACCATCAAAGGATCTGATTGGATTACCTATATCTGTCGCTCTTGCAGGTAGTGGCCGTCTCCACTGTGTGACAAATTTGTAAGCATCCAGCCTTATTTCAATAATGTTATTTAGGAGAGCAAGGAGTGGAGCCAATGGGAAGGCAGCAACAAATATTGTTGTGAAGCCAAACTGTAAAACTAGATGAAAATGAGAATCACAATTAGCACTGCTTAAATCATCAAAAACGAACACAGATTATTCAACTGGTAACACACTGAATATATGAAACTGTGCCATTTGCATGGACCATGACGACACAAGCAACAGGAACAGGAATAGACCAGTCAGTCCCTTGAGCCTGCTTTGATGTTATGGGATCATGGCTGATCGAGGGTTTCAATTCCACTTCTCAGGTTGAGCCCTGTATCCCTTGATTCCATGAGGGATCGGTGGTCTGTCTGCCCAAGTCTGAAATATGCTCAATGATAGAGCATCCACAATCCTTGATGATACAGAATTCTAAGGATTCACATCTGTTGAATGAAGTAATTTCTCCTTATCTGAGTTATAAATAATCAGCCTCTTATCCATGTTTTAGATTTCTTAATAAGGGCAGCTGATAGCTGAGGGGTATTATCGCTGAACTGTTAATCCAGAGACCCAGGTAATGTTCTGGGGACATGGGTTTGAATCCTGCCATGGCAGATGGTGGAATTTGAATCCAATAAAGGTCTAGAACCAGAAGTCTAATGATGACCATAAATCCATTGTCCATTATTGGAAAAACTTATCTGGTTCACTAATGCACTTTAGGAAAGGAACTGTCATCCTTACCTGGTCTGGCCTACATGTGACTCCAGGCCCACAGCAATGTGGTTGACTCTTAACTTCCCGCTGGACAATTAGGAATGGCCAATAATACTGACCTAGCCTGTGATACCCACATCCCATGAATGGATAAGCAAAAAAGACCAAAGGAAACAGTTTCTCAGTGTCTACCCTGTCAAGCCCCTTCAGAATCACATTGTATTTCAATGAGATCACCTCTTATTCTTCTAAACTCCAGAGAATATGGGCCCAATTTACTCATCCTCTCATCATCAGACATCACCCTTATTGAATGAACGTTTGCTGTACCACCTCCAATGCATGTATCACAGTGGGGTGGAGGGAGGAGGTAAAGGTTTGAGAGGTTAAGTGAAGACAGAGCCCGGAGTGGGAGAAAGGCATTCAGGCAAACAAAGGGATGGGTGATGGTAAGCCAGGGAATGAGAAAAGCTGATAATGGGGACCATAAGTAAGTGAGAAGGGTTGACCCTGCTGAAACAGCCCATGGGATAACAGGGCCTGGGGTGTCGGGGTGGGTAAAGGACATGGAAGAAGGAAATCAGGCCCTATAATTACTGAACTCGATAGTGAGTCCTGAAGGCTGCGACGTCCCCAAGCAGAAAACCAGATGCTATTTTTCCAAGCTTGCGCTGAGCTTCACTGGAGCACACTGCAGCAAGCCAGAGAGAGAGATGTTCGCCAAGGAACACGGTGGTGTGTTCAAGTGACAGTCAACTGGAAGCTCGGGTCTTTTTGTGGAGACAACACAGGTATTCTGCAAAGCAGTTGCCACAGGGATGGGGTTGGAAGGTGGATCTGAGTGGGATTCTCTCGGGAGGGTCAGCATGGACCTGATGGGCCAAATGACCTCTTTCTGCAGTGTAGGGATTTTGTAAGAGAGAAGGTCTACAGCAAGTGACTAGCCTGGCCCATGAAACTGACAGAATGGTGTTCTATTAAACTTTAAAGGGTTTGGGGTTTGGCTGCCTGTTTTATTCAATAATGGGAGAGTTTATGAGTGAACACAGTAAACAGCACAATGCATGATAGAAGATTCAAACAGAAGATTCTAAATTTCTTTTTGGGGTGATGCTTTGGGGATATAATCATAACTTTAGATGAAGGCATTTTACTTTCAGTCTGGGCAGTTTTGCATAAGTGTTGGCTGAAGCTGGATATGTGAAATAGTTGGTCCTAGGATAGGGAGTTCTTTTAGGAATGTTTAAAACAAAATATCTCAGTGTAAAGTGTTTAGCTTAAAAGTTCCAGGCCAGATGTCTTTGTTTAAAAACTTTGAAGGTATTGTGTGAAGGTGGGAGTGTCTAACGTCAGTTATGTAATAAATCAGGAAAAGGCTATCAGATTATCAGTTGAAGTCACAGCTAGCTTAAATCCTATATTGGATAGACAAGGGAATTCTCTCTGCTGCTTGAGCACGGTAAGAGGATGTTAGTATTAACGGGTCTGTATTCTTACCAGATGTTTTGAAATCTTTACGTGTGTGTTATATGTAAATAGTTTGCTTACTTTATTTTGTATTAATACCTTTTGTGTAAAAAATTCTGTTAAAACCAAATCCGCAATATTGTGTGTTTGGATTCCAGTGAAAGACCACCTCATTAAAACCAAAAACAGAGCAAAATATGATCTATCGAGCCAAGATTCAGTCTCGGATCTGACATATCCGGTAATAACATCAACAATTGGGATCATAACAACTTTCTTACTGGTTCTGTAAAATATATTCAAGATCCAAACTCATTTTGAGGGAAATGCAACATTACTTTAACTTACAACGGACACAGTAAATACCGGAAAATGCAGCCTATTGTGAAGTTATAGTAAATGTGCAATAAAATTCAATCTAAACTTTAAACTACCCTGTTGTTGAATAACTGTAGCTCTAGAAGCTCTGCATTTCAAATTTACACATTTTTCTTTCACATATAATTCATGTGTAAAAGTTGTTTTTTTTGTACATTAACCATTATGTTTAACAAGTTTATTTGTAAAAGCCAATTCATTGCTAAAATCTCTAGCTAAGATCTGAATTTGAACAGACATCTTACGTGATATATGATTAACAACTATGTGTGGTCTACCTGTGATCGACCATGAAATACATACTTAACACCAAACCAACAGATCACACTCTCAAAATGATGTGTTATGGTGCTAGCTTAATTGATAAAGGATGTGTTCAATATTACACACTGAAATTAGACAACATATACACAAAAAAAAGACTACAGTGAATTAAAGTGCATTGATCATATTCTGGGTCTTACCCATTTCTAGGTATTCATCTATTAAGCCATGAATGTTCATGGGCTGTAGATTCCAATCCTTTTCCCACTGAGGTAGATATACTTTATTCTCCACACTGTGACCTGCTTTCTTCACTTTCCGACGTGACCACCAATTCTGCAACAGTCTAAAGAGACCAGGAAGTTACTGCAGTAACTGAACTATCTTCTGCCCAGCCACAAATTTGTAGCATTTAACATCACATAGCAATCTGGCAGCCTTTCATTCTTTGTCTTCCTCTATCTCTTTTAAATACTACTGGGCATGAAAATATATTTCAGAATTGCTTAGATACAAGGTCCTACATTCAACAAAGTTGTGTTAGCACGTTAGAGTGTTTCCCACATAAAACACAGAGTGCTGGAGAAACTCAGCAGGTCTGGCAGGATCCATAGAGAGAGAAACGGAGTTAACCTTTCAAGTCCAGTATGATTCTTCTTTCTTCTTATTCCCAATCTCCAGCATTTGCAGCATTTTAGTTAATACATAAGCAGGAGAGCATGAATTGAATCCAAATGCAGATAAACCAAAACTGCGTTCAGAAAATCACAAACAAATTCACACCCTGGAGCTTCATTGTATCATATCTTCCAGACATGAAATAAAAGTAGAATTAGAGTGTATCTCTCTGGGTAAACTTGATTGCCTTGAATGTGGAAAATGTAAAAGGGTTGAGTCAATGTTTTTATTGCAAGTTCAGTGAGACCAACTCCACTACCACTTCTTACCACTAAATGGCAGACTTTGCAAGGAAGTTGGAGCTGCACCATTTAAGAACTGATAATTGCTATTGGTGTTTGTAACCTATTTACTCCATGGTCTTCAGTTTACCTTCATTTAACGATTTAACAGAAGGTGATTGTTTTTAACATATCCATTTGACCATCATTAATGATGAGAATTAAATATTTTGCCACTATTGGCACATAGCTTGCATTATGAAATGCATTGGACGTAAATTAAACTTAGCTCTGTTCTATTGAAGCAAATATATTATTCAGATCATGCACCTCCTAATTTAACGTTTGCAACACTAACATTGTCAAACCACAGCTCAGTTGAGAACACTCTGACTTAGAATGCTGTGGGTTTAAATCCTGCCACAGGAATTGAAGGCAAAAATCAACACTGTCCCTCCAGGAGAGGTGCTGCCTTTCTGACAAAATCTTAAGCTGAGGAAGCTGAAGCCGAGAATCAGTGATCCCTCCAAGATGCACACAAAAGATCCCTCAGCACTTTCTGGCATCTGGATGTCACCAAAAATCCATTGGTAGATGCCCTCACCTTTCCCATTAGGGTTTGGCATGTACGGTGTTACACCTAACAATCCCATGCGACAAAACATTACGATGGTTCATGAACCCCCTCAGGTCCCTTGTCTTTTTCTGCAGCTTTGAGTAGTCAATGTGCCACGTCCAACTTAGTTGTGTGTGGGCTTGTAGGTCCTGTTTCATGACCCAGGGAGCTGCGCCTCAAATTCTGTTTGCACTTTAGCCCCACGTTCCTGATTCTAGGAACATGTGCAGGGTAGAGAATGGGGAGGCCAACACTGCTCCTGGGCCTGGCCTGGCCAAAGTGGACATTGACAGGTCCATGCATTGGGAAGTTGAGGGGATTGTCCATCCTTTACTCCTACTCCTCTTTTCTTTGTTTCTATGCCTGGTGTCTGAAATTGAAGACTAAATCCATTTGCCCAGCTTTGAAAGGCTGCAGGTGTAGTTGCATGAGGTCACCTCCTGATTGATAGACTCATAGAATCCCTACAGTGCACAAAGAGGTCATTTGGCCCATTGAGTAGCACCAACCCTCCGAAAAACATCCCAGCCAGACTCGACCCCCTACCCTATCCCTGTAACCCTGCATTTCCCATGGTTGACCCACCTACCTACTCATTCACAAGACCAGAAGACCATAAGACATAGGAGCAGAAATTAGGCCATTCGGCCCAGCGAGTCTGCTCCGCCATTCAATCATGGCCGATAAGTCCCTCAACCCCATTCTCCTGCTTTCTCCCCGTAACCCTTGATCCCCTTGATAATCAAGAACCTATCTATCTCAGTCTTAAATGTACTCAATGACCTGGTCTCCGCAGCCTTCTGTGGCAGTGAATTCCATAGATCTCTGGCTGAAGAAGTTTCTCCTTTTCTCCGTTCTAAAAGGTCTTCCCTTTACTCTAAGGCTGTGCCCTCGGGTCCTTGACTCTCCTACCAATGGAACCATCTTCCCAACATCCACTCTGTCCAGGCCATTCAGTATTCTGAAAGTTTCAATTAGATCCCCCCTCATCCGTCTAAACTCCAATGAGTATAGTCCCAGAGTCCTCAAATGTTCCTCATATGTTAAGCTGAACACTACAAGGGTAATTTAACATGGCCAATCCACCTAATCTGCCCATCTTTGGATTTGGGAGGAAACCGACACAGACACAGGGACAGCATGCACACTCCAGACAGTCGCCCGAAGCTGGAATTGAACCCAGGTCTCTGGCACTTTGCACAGTTCTCTAGGCACTTTCCTGGTAAAGTTCAGATGATGCATGTACCGCCCCTGTCTTATACGTGGGCAAGAAAAATATGACCAGAAGACAATAACATTGTCTTATAACATTGGATAATATTGTGGTTTAGAGATTGAAGATTATGTCAGTGATGGCACTGGGGCCACGTGCAAAGCCTCGATCTTCCACACATGGTGATCAGCATTGGCACGGTGATCCGGGAATTCAATGCTATGCGTGGGCCTCAGATGTGCACACGGCCAGTAAGAAAATTCAAGGGAGTGCTGGTCATGTGTTAAGTTGAAGTAACGTTAGCCTCTTTACAGCTCAGAGCGTCCTGCTGAGGATCTTCTGGTGGAACTGACTCCCTATGAATTGTCCAGGAACTAGAAACATCCAATGGGCCATTATCCGGCATCTGGCACTATCCGAGCAAGCCCCCAGCTCCGAGCCAGAGTCAGAGACTTTGGATGGTTCCAACTTACCTTAAAAGTTACACAGTTATACGGTCATACAGCATGGAAACAGACCCTTTGGTCCAATTTGTCTGTGTGGACCAAGTTTCCCAAAACTAATCTAGTCCCACTTGCCTGCATTTGGCCCATATCCCTCTAAACCTTTCCTATTCATGTAATTATCCAAACTTCTTTTAAATGATGTAACTGTACCTGCATCTACCTCTTCCCCTGGCAGTTCATTCCACAAACGAACCACCCTCTGTGTGAAAAAGTTGCCCCTCAGGTCCCTTTTAAATCTTTCTCCACTCACCTTAAAATTATGCCCTCTAGTTTTGAACTCCCCCACCCTAGGGAAAAGACTTTTGCTATTCACCTTATCTATGCCCCAGCCTATCCTTTTAACTCAAACCCTTCAGTCCTGGTAACATCCTCGTAAATCTTTTCTGCACCCTCTCCAATTTAATAATAACCTTCCTACAGCACCGTGACCAAAACTGTACACAGTACTTCAAAAATGAGCTTATCAATGTCCTGTACAATCTCAACATGACATCCCAACTCCTATACTGAATGGTCTGAGCAACGAAGACGAGGATGCCAAATGTCTTCTTTACCACCCTGTTTTACCTGTGACACAACTTTCAAGGAACGATGTACCTGAACCCCTGGGTCTCTTTGACAACACTCCCCAGGGCCCTACCATGAAACTTTTTGTGTAGATCAGTAGATTCTTTCCCTAAAGGAAGGGCATAAGTGAACTCAATGTGTTTTTCAGGAAAATAGTTACATGTCACATTAGGCTAGCATTTAATTGTAGATTTTTATTGATTTTAAATTTCCTTAGCTACCAGGAGGGAGTCAAACCCATGCCAGCAAACAATAGTCTGGGTTTCTCGACTATTAGTCCAGTAACATGATCATTATGTCACCATTACCAACTGAGCATGCTCCATGCCCAGGTTTTTTGTCCTATTGCTCCTTAAACCTTTTCCATTGCAATAATTACAGGAGAGGCAATGGCTGACTGGTATTATCACAAGACTATTAATCAAGGGAAACCCAAGCAATATCCTGGTGACCCAGGTTCAAATCCCACCCTTGCAGATGGTGGTGTCTGAATTCAACTTTTTTGGGGAAAAAAAAAGTCTAATGATGACCATGAATCTAGTTGATTGTTGGCAAAAAAAAACATTTGTTCACAAATGTCCTTGAGGGAAGGAAACTGCCATCCTTACCTGGTCTGGCCTACATGTGGCTCCAGACCCACAGCAATGTGACTGACTCTTAAGTTGTCCTCAGGGCAATTAGGGATGGGCAATAAATGCTGGTGCAGCCAGCAACACCCACATCCTATTAATGAGTAAAAAAAGGTAATTATCTAATACCATTTTGAAAACCATGATTGAACCACTTTGCACCACACTCTAAGGCAGTGCATTCCAGATCCTAACCAGTCACTGGATAAAAAGATTTTCCCTCGAGTTGATTTTGAACATTTAACCATTCATATGAAGTCACTCACCTCTGATTCTTGCCTCTTCTGTCAATGGGAAGAGTTTCCCCCTACCTATATTGTCTAGCTCCCTCATGATTTTGAGCAACTCGGTCAAATCTCCCCTCGATCTTCTCTCCCTCTCAAGGAGAGCAGCCAGCTTCTCCAAGCTATGCAGATAAACGCTCCTGTGATTCTTTCCTGCACTCTCTGTCCAAAATCTGCAGAAAGAGTTGCTGCTGGAGCATGATAATATTATGAGACCTGGTCCTCAAATGCCAAAAAGGTCATTGCTTTGTTCCCCCTTGTGTCTTTCTCTCCTGTTTGGATAGAAAGTGACATTGCAAAGTGGTAGTGTGTTGGGGGGGGAACTGACATTTTAACTGCCTAATTTTCCTCAGACGACATGTCCATCCTGGGCCTCCTGCAGTGCCACAATGATGCCACCCGAAGATTGCAGGAACAGCAACTCATATTCCGCTTGGGAATCCTGCAGCCCAATGGTATCAATGTGGATTTCACAAGCTTCAAAATCTCCCCTCCCCCTACCGCATCCCAAAACC